AAACCGGAACTGTGTCTGTAGTTTCGTCTCTAGTACGAACCGAAAGTGTTTAAATTATTTTAACCCCGATACAAAACCGATCTGTAGGTTTGCTTCTAGTGTAAACTTGATTTGAACTTTTACACCCTACTTCAATCCGGATGTGTATCTACGTTTATGATCATAGTGCGAATCGGTTTGTGGATACGTTTGGACACTAGGGAAAACTCTTTATCTTCTGTTTGAACCTAGTCGAAAACGTACCTTTACCAAACACTTTAACCCTAGTGTTAACTTTTGGATGCAGAGCGTGCCGGTCCTATTATCACCCATCCATTAATTACTATTTCTCTACTATAAAACTTATATTTGATATAGAATCCCCCAACAAAAAATATGTTGTTCAATTAATCAGCATAACTTAACCTAATCCCAGTCGAGATTTAAATTAGCATCATTTATCTTTAGGAGCCTGTCTTACAGTGACATCACTATTACATAATTGGCCACTAGGTGGCGCTAGATTATGTCATATATTCTTTGCTAATAGGATTGCTTTTACACCTAGGGTTTCCAGTGTTTCTGCATCCTCGCTCAGTTTCACATGAAAAAAACCACCCACCAGTATAGTAAAAAGTATACCAAAATTGTTTTAAAGGTTTGTTAGTTTTTAATAAACCATGATGCACAAAAAATTAATACCAAAGGGAGGTAACAACTAATGCTGACGTATGTGGCTGCTGCTGCTGCTGTTACTACTACCTTATGAAACAATAAACGAAAGCAAACTTGACAATTGAAAACTACATATATAATTTTATGGCCAGTGTTAGTTTTAAGGCCAGGGTCCGCGTTGAAACTGATGAAAAAAAAAATTAAAGTTTTTGTTCATAATTATGAAATTGAAAAAAAAAATATATACACGTCTCCATGTGCCGTGCATGGGCGATAATGACTCTCCACTATTTCCTGTCCCTTGTAGCTCTTAATAAATTTTGTCTTTTGTTGGCGATCATGACTCTCCACTATTTCCTGTCCATTGTAGCTCAATAAATTTTGTCTTTTTGTTATTTCTTCCAAATCCTGTCCTGTGAGGATCAGATGCCCCGAACCTTCTCTTCTCATTATGCCTCCTAGAAATTTCAGTTGTCTCTTCCCGGTGTTAAGCATACGTTTCCTTTTTAATTCTATTTTCTTTATAATTTCGGTTTTGCTCACATATTCAGTGAATGGTATTCCCAGTATCCTTCTGTAGAACCACATTTCTGGTGCTTCCAGTCTCTTCTACAACTTTGGTGATATTGTCTATCATTCCCTGCCATATAGGAGGACAGATATCACATAACAGTACTCTTTACTTTGTTTCTCACAAAGTTTTCCTGTTTCTTAATACTCGGCTTAGCTTTTGGAATACATCTTTGGCTATTCCATTGTACCTTCGAGTTTCAGTGTCACCCTTTCCGTCCTCTGTTAAAATATTTGCTAGATATCTATTTTTTTTCACTTGTTTGATTTTGGTATTTGTAATTTGCATTTTGGTCTCATCATTTTGCTCACACCCATGCATTCTGTCTTCTTGAAGTTGATATTTAATCCTTTCTTCTTACTTTGCTTCATTACCTTCTGTAGGAATTTTTGTATTTTTCTTTCCGTGTTTGTCATCAACATTGTAACATCTGTATCCGTTATGTTGTTAAGATTATTAGCAACTAATGAAAATTCGGCGACTATGTTTGGTTCTTTTTTATCTCCCTTACATGATTTATATCCGAAAAAATGTTATTTCGTCTGAACAACTATTTGAATGTGAATGAAACTTCTGAAAACTATAGAAAATACTAAAATATTCTTTGTTGAAGGATATTTTTATATCTTATCTAGGAATGTAACCCAGTTCTTTCCAGTTAGCCTAGCCTTCTGTTTTTTATACAGTCTTTTTGTACATCTCATTTGCATATTTATTTCGAGTAGCATATACTGAAATATCTTTATGATATTAAAAGTCCTATGTCGCCCTCGAAAATATCCAATCGCTAACTATTTTTGCTTATCGCCTACCCCAACACTTAAAATCGCCCACCGGTGAGCGATATTGTCCATGTTCAATAAGACGTTTTTATACCTTCCTAATTGTATTTAATTGTTAGGGAAGTATTGTATGAAAGTGTATATGCTTTTTCAAATATATTATTATTATTACTATTATCTGTCTATATCTTTGAGATGATGTATTATGATTACTTGCATTATTTACATTATTCGGAATGTTATCCTCATCTTCATTGCCATATTCATAACGTTTCGACCGTTGTACGCTCCGGCCTTCTTCAAGTGATTGGAATTTTCCTTTAACTCAACTCTCCAAGATTTTTGGTTCAGTACTGTTCTAGCCTGGTATTGAACTCACAACTCACTGGGTCTAGTCACTGGATCTAACTGAGACATCCGGAAGAGGCATGGCATGTGGAACTAGAACAATGTACCCCAGGGGACGATATCGCTCATGTTCAAAAATACATTTTTACACCATCCTAATTTTGTTTAATCGCTAGAGAAGTATTGTATGACAGTGTATATTGTTTTTCAAATGTATTATTATTATTATTATTATTATTATTATTTCTTTTAATTTCTGATGTGTACACATTTCTTTTTGGGTCCAGCCCAGAGATCTAAGGTAAGAAATGGCATCATGAGATTTTATACTAACTGTGACGTCGTCCCCTGGTCGCAGCGACAACTGTGACGTTCTATTCTGGTCTCCCACGGCACCAACTGTGACGTCCCTAAACAGCACCAATTGTGACGTCCTCGCCGCGGCGCCAGCTGTTCGCTCCTCGCTGCTCCGTTCGGGTATCGCTGCTCCAAACGTGACGTCCGCCTGTCGCGTCAGTCGTGTTGTCTCGTCTTGTGACGACCAACTGGCTTGGTATCAGTCGCGGCACCCAAATGTGACGTTCTAACCTTTTGGTGATTCGGGTGGGAATCTGGTTAGATTTGATATCAGCCTCGTCGTTCCCAACTCGCTTCCAACGCCTGGTTACCAAGGTAACTGCATTGATCTCCAGTCTGCCTACCCACGTTGTGAATTGATCTTAGGCAGACGAGATCAAACAGTGGTTGGGGCCGTAATGCAAACCGAGTTCAACGGGGTGATACCACACAAATATGCATAAAAAGAAAGAAAATGAAAACTCAAAAGTTCAAAGTATCAAAGAAAAAGTAACAAACTTTATGTCTAGTTGTTCGATACATAGGACTGCATCTATCTCCCCCTGTTCCGTTCTATGGATTGTGACACGTCGTTTTCCGTTAGGCAAGTTTTAACGCTTCAAGTTGTTTGCTCTCTAAGAAATTGGTGTTTCGGTGTGTCTTTGGACGAAAGTCGAAAAAAAAACTTATTGTGGTGGTCTGGATCTAAGTCGCTCTTCAAAATAATTGTTCTTGGGTTGAAGAGGAGTCCGGAATTTGCGTGAATCTTGGTCAACTATCTGCGAGGCGGCTTCAACTGGAGACTCAACTCAAACTTTTCTGGGACTGAACTCACTGGAACTGATTACTGCTCGTTGTGGCTTCGCTTATCAGGTATTTTATCGCTAATTATCCGAATGGGTGGTCTTCTTAACACGGCCAACGTCGCCCCGAAAATACATTTCTAAATTTCCATTCATTTCCCTTTGGTACATATTTCTGATAACATAATTTTATTATCGCAGGCCAAGGATGTTCCGTCGAAGGAAATCGGTCAGCGGACACTCGTGGGTGGCTTTTAATTTTTCATATCTGTCCAAAGTCCTTTTTTAGTTGCCTGTTTTTCGTCACTTATCGAAATAACATTTTCATTTGAATTTTTCTTTGGCCACTCGGTCTGTAGTTGATAATAAGATGCCTTCCCGTACCAATAGTTTGTTTTCATATCCTTATATAACACAGCCGTCGCCAAAACATATCTGATTCTTTCTTTCTTTCCCTTTCTTTTTACTCAGAATTTCCCTGTCATTGTAATGACACCCTTTCGCCATTTGTTACTTATCAAAATATCCCTTATCCATTGTCTCTTAGCCGTGTGTGTGTTCTGCTTATCATCCACGATTCGGTCCTTAGCCTCTCCTTTTCTTCTTTTCCTTCTTTTCTTTTTCTGCCTCGTTAAATGGTGCCACATGACCAATTAAAAAAAAAAGAAAAAAAAAGAAAAAACTAAACACACACACATATATTTCACATATAAAGCTCTTCGTAAGGTGTGACGCTACATGTGAAAACAGTTTTTTGTATTTCTTTAAGGTGTGGGCTTCCAAGAATTCTTTCAATGAATCTACTGGAATCTTTTCCAACCAATCCGAGGGTTCCAACTACAACTGGAATTGTTAATGTTCTCAGGCGTCACATTTTTCAGATTTAGATTTCAAGGTCCTTGTATTATTATTATTATTTTTATTTTCTTTCCGGAGTCCCGCACAGGGACCTAAGGTTAGAAATGGCACCATGACACTTTCCACTGACAAAAAAAAAAAAAAAAATTATTATTATTATTATTATGTCCTTTGATTTCTGTTGTATATTCATTTCTTTCCGCTTCCCGCTCACAGATCTAAGGTCAGAAATGGCATCATGGAATTTTCCACTGAGCAATTAAAAAAAAAAGAATAACACACACATTTTACATAGATGAAGCACTTGGTAAGGTGTGGGCTGTATTCGTGTCTTTAAGGTATGGGCTTCCAGTAATCCCTTCAATGAGTTTAATGGAGTCTTTTCAAACCAATGGGAGGACTCCAACTACAACAGAAATTGTTGATTTTCCCATTATTATTATTATTATTATTAATGTTTGGATGGTTTTTCTAATATTTTTTTAACGCAACTCATTATTCAAAATACGCACCTGCTAATAATTGCCGTATTTATGATCAAATTCTAAACATTTTAAAATTAATAAACTTTATGTTCTCTCTTATTTTTTCATATCCAAAGTATAAACGATAAGTATTACTTGATAATTCTCCCATTGAGACTAAATTATGATAATTTACCCGCATATTTCATATCAGTGAGACAGAGAAAGGAAACTAACAATCTGAACGTTATTCTATTCTGAAAGTTGTTGTCAGAAACAAATCAGCAACTGAGTCTCCACTTTGGCAGGCCATTTGTAATGACTATTTATACTTATCCTAATCACAGGGTTCTTGTTTGTCGTGTAAACAGGGAGTCTTGAGGCTCTGAAGTCCGTACAACAAATAATACGGAAATGTTTACCCGACTCAGACAGTTCAAAGGCGAGGTTACTCTGTGATCCAAATACTTTCAACGGAAACCACTTGGGTGAAATATTTGCAGATCGAGCAAATATAAATAAGAAAGATATGATTAAAATACTTTAAATTATTAATAGTTTGACGATTATACTTTCACACTTCATATCTATCTATCTATCTATCTATCTATCTATCTATCTATCTATCTATCTATCTGTCTCAGTATATCAACATAAATCTCAATTTGACTGCATCTATCTATCTATCTATCTATCTATCTATCTATCTATCTATCTATCTATCTATCTCGATTTAGTTACTGCAGTTAAATTATCAATTTATTCTAACTGAAATGTGTTGACATTATATAGAAAGGTTTCCATTTCAGGCTGAGATAGTTGGATTTTTCTCAAGTTTCTTTGGTCAATATTTGTACAGTCGTAAAACCTAAACATTCTAAATCTTTAAGTTATAAATACTGACCTTTAAATGAGGCATTCCTGGAAAATGTAACGCGCGTAAGATATATATAGTCAACAAAAGTGACATGTGAAAACAGTGAGCAACTTACATGATCAATTAAATAAGTGACAGGTGTAACAACGAGTCAAGTAATGTTGGTAAAGTGTCAATATTCTTACTAGGAGTTAAAGCAGGGAGTTGTGGAGAGTCATGACCAGGCAGATGAAGTTGGCATAGAAAAGGAGATGAAAACATCTCAATTTAGATGATAAGCAATATTTTTGTGTAATTGTAAAAGCTATAATATTTCAAAGGACTATCTATTTCACCGATCCTTTATCTTTTCTAGATTTGTTCTTACCTAAGTCTGCCCATATTTATCTGATTCGCAGTTTGAGCCAGCCTTTCATTTTGGCCAGCTAATGTCTATCTATCTATCTATCTATCTATCTATCTATCTGATAATTTATTTTGAATCCCCGTTAACAAGGGTATTTTTGTATCGTGATGGAGAATGTAAAAGTTTGTGAGTAACTTACGGTACTGTTTTTTTTTATTATTTGAAATGTTCGTTTGAATCTAGAAAAAATAGATAACATGACTTCACCTTTTATGTCGGTTGGGGCCTCCTAACTTAAAGGACAGTCATATTTCTATTTTTCAAATTAACCCGGAGACTATTAGTGCATTCCTAAAATCTTGGATTCTGACTTTTTAGAATAAATTTTCCAAACATATTCTTTCATGACTCTCCATAAATGTCATTTCTTTATTATCTGTGAAACGTCGAGAGAAATACCGTTGTGTGTATTCCTATTGCATACTGAATATTTCTTCTTCTATAGCAGTTTCCATTCAATATTAAGGGGTTCAATGTACCTTGCTGTCTAAATCCTAGTTGTATCGGGTATTGATGGATTCAGCCTTTCCCTAGAGGATTAGTGCAAACGTAAATACAACAGACTAAGTGGTGAGAAAATGAACTGTATAGTCTGTATAAAGGGGACAGAGGATGCTATCATGCAAGGCTTTTATATTTCTTCTTTATTTTTTTATGTGCATTTTCCTTTTAGCACGCGTACGATCATGGCTCTCCACGACTTCCTATCTTTTGGGGTTCTAAGCAATGTTTATCTCGTTTCAGAATCTGCTTTGCCATTCATTTGCACTAGCACTTTAAACAATGTTGCCATCTGGCATTTTTGACAAAACTATGTCTTGTGAGTGTCAAATTCACCAAGCTCTCTTTCCTCATTATGGGTGTCATAAATTTCAACTGTCTTGATGATTCAAAGTAGAATGTCTTTTTTACTCCTATTTTCGCATGATTCAAATGTTTCGTATATGGTTTTCATAGGATGCTTTGTAGAAGCACATGTCTGTTGCTTCAAGTGTACTCATCGCTGAGGATAATGTCTAGCATTCACAGTCAAATAGGAGGATTATTATTACATAACAGTTCCCCAATGTTTGCATCTAATGAAATTTTCCTATCTCTTAATACTTTCTTTAGCTTTTGGAAGGCTTTTTTCTTTATCTTTTCTAATGCGCCTCTGAGATTTTGTGTCACATTTTCCGTCGGCTGTCATGGGGCCTGCCGGATAGTTAAATTTCTCTAGCTTTCATAAGATTTCAGTGAATATTATTAGCTCATTTTCTATATGTTGATATCACTTTATTAAACAGAAAATCGTTTCTAATCAGTTTTTAATCGACGCACCTCGCGTTTCCTTAAATCAACTTATTTCCATTTTTCAGAAATACCTGTTGGGAAATTCTGTTAGCAAATTAAAAAAAAAAAAAAAAAAATCATGAAAGGTAAATGACAAAGACATTTCCAGTTGATTACTTCCAGAAGAGGCCGAGCAAAGGTAACACACATACCTGTCATTCTTTTTGTTGTATTAAATCATGTACTATGTCACCAAAGACACATTTTAGAATGGTTACTAACTAATTGCATCATTGGAGAATATGGCATCTTCCAGTTTTCTTACTGGCTATTCAGATATGCAAATTTGATTTATTCACGGTAATTTCATTTACGTATAGAGATGATATTGGGAATTTTAATAAGCGAAGTAAGTGAGGATAATAGCCTGAATGCTAGTAAAATTGGATGTTTTCCGAAGCAGTCAGTAATATTAGAAAGATATTTTGTTCTACTGAAATATTATTTAATATTTATGCTCCTCTGGCTCAATGCGTTACACATTAAATTACAAGCAATTCAGATTGAATTAAAAATAACTTATTTTTGATGTCTTTTTATGCGAGATGCGTGTGAATGGGTATATGTATCAGTGCCTGGGTGGGTGTGGTTGCGCGCATGTGCATTTCAACACGTTCACGTATGATGCATATTTTATGATATTCAAATAAACCCAGCTAAATTCTATGCAAATTTCTACTGTAAAATTGGAATCGTGACGTTTGTTTAAAAATAAGTGAGTTGTACGAATGTTAATGATTATTCTTCTGTTATAATATGGAGAAAATTATTTTCCCAACTTTACAATGAAGAAAAATGAATCCTGGAAGTAAGTAGAGGTTATTAATGCGTCTTTCTACCTTGTATTGAAAAAAAAAACATGATAATTCTTTATCTATGAACCATTGCTTTATTTGTAGCATCAGCGTAGAGAAAGACCTGCAACATCAAATGGACGCGTTCCACAAATTTGTTGAATTCAAGAAAGAATTTGATCGTGTATGGGATGACGGTCTTTCGCAAATCCTTAGGGAATTATCTATCTATGTGTGTGCCTGTGTGCTTATGCGTATGTGTACATGTGTTATTTTAATAGATATATATATATATATATATATATATATATATATATATATATATATATATATATATATAATCCATTATACATTAAGAAAAATTACAACATCCCAACCAAATTATTCAAACAAATACCCATGTCTATGAATAAATTAATTTCCACAAATTTTAGCAGCCTAAAAATATTCAATGAAAACAAAAAATACATATGAAGCAGCCCTAAGAAACAGGAGATATTCAAACAAACCAGAGTACAAAAACGAAAACAATTAAAAAAAACAACAGAAAATGAAACATAATATTGTTCGCCACCACACGCCGACCTATATCTCCCAGGGACAATATTCACCTAGGGAAACTATACTTAAAAATAATTGACAAACACTTCCTTAAAAAACAGCAAATTATAAAAATTTATGAATAAAAATGCAATCAAAATTAGATACAGCTGCATGGATAACATGGAGAAAATAATAACTAAGTGCAATAAAAAAAAGAAACTCAACAAAACCAATAACAATTACAAAAACAATGAAATAACACCCAGAAAAATAACACTGCCAAATGTAACTGTAGAAAAAAAGAAAAGTGTCCACTTAACAATAAATGTTTAAAAAGTAACATACTATACAAAGCTATCGTAAGAAATAACTTTAAGACAGACGAAAAAATATAGATAGGGACCACTGAAAAAACATTAAAAGAAAATATTATAACCACAAAATGTCCTTCCAAAGAATAAACACTACAAACAATACAACTGTATTAATATATAATATCGCTATCAAAATCAAATGAGAACTTATAAAAAGAGTAGCTCCGTTCAGTATTAACGGGAAAAAATTATTCTCAGAGGATAATTAGCAATAATTAATTTTAAAAACCAAATTATGCACTTAAGCATAAAAGTGAAATAATTTGTAAATGATAGTAATGATTTGAAGAAGTTTTTATAATAATCTCTTATAATAAAAATATAATATATATATAGGTGTGTGTGTGTGTGTATGTATGTGTGTGCTATCTTATAGAATTCCCTTAGAAAATCATTTAATTTGTTCATAAAATAGTAAAATGTAGAGCCGAAAACTCTTCGGCGCAAAGAGCAGATTTGGTTGGAAAAACTTGTGCCGATAATTTTTCACCATGCCTTCGGATATACAATTAAAAAAAGGAGATTATTTCAACAGTTCACGTTTTAAATATTTCGCATGAGAAAATTGTGTCCAGAGTTATTTCATTTATCTTTGGTATTTGTGCACTCGTATCTATTTAGTAAGTAAAGAGAAAAACATACTTTGTACATTTCTATGAAAATGGGATATCAAAGTGGATTGAAGTCGTCCAACTCATAAAAAAATATCCATTGATTTGTTTCGTTTGGGCAGGCAAAAATACCAACGCAAAAACTGATCTCATCTGACATTTTCCCTTTGTTCTGCCATTTATGAATTTGCCAAGAATATTATTACTTCTCTTGATGTGAGAATATTTATATTGTTTGATTGAAATGCCGAACTCAGTGTTACAACTTTTTGTCTGAATTGTGCTGACCCTAAGTTTGTTGGTGATCGATCAAATGTTTCTGAGCCGTGCACTGAGGTTGGAGATATTTTAGTCTGACTTGGGACGATCATGTGAAACCATCCGTACAGGGGACAATAAGCTCAGGCAGATTTTGTCAGTAAATCGTCCAATCTTTTCATGTTATATCGGAATGAGTGACTCGATTCTGTGAAGTAAATTTAATAGAATTTATTTCAGTTACACACACACACACACACACACACACACACACACACACACATATATATATATATATATATATATATATATACATATGCCGATACAGTTGCTAAAATCTAGGTATTTTATTTGCATATATATATATATATATATATATATATATATATAACAGTTCAAAAGTTTTAAGCCACCCCTCCCAGTGTTAGCATGTAATGACAGAAGAGTGAAAAAACCAAAACCAAAAAAATAAAAAGGAAACAGAACATTTAGAGTCATTGAAAAAAGAATGGAATCCGTTATATCCACTTATAATTTGAGTAATGAATGCCAAATATTTGTGCTGCAGTAATCAAGGCTACAGGAAAGCGTTTTGAGAGAGCAAAACTTAATCATAAAATGCTTTTATTTTCTTTTTTGTCATAATAAAACTTTCTAACAAAGATTCTCTCACTTTTTATAGACATGCATAATTATCTTCTCTTATTTAAAGTACAAAACAACTACATTTTGGGCCAATTTAAAAAAAAAATACCAGAGATGACCTCAAACTTTGAACTGTAGCTTGTGCATATATATATATATATATATATATATATATATATTTATATATATATATATATATATATAAATATATGCGTGTGTGTGTGTAAACATTTATTATAGGATGCTATATAGCAAGTGTTACAATGGGTCTTCTGAGCTAACAGGGAATCGATGGATAAGCGTGAAAAATCCAAGAGAAGTCGTGTGAACAACAACAATAAAGTCTGTTTCAGGTTTTCACAAATCTTACCTAGCCCGACAAAATTGTAAATAGAGAACTTGTGCGGAAATTCTAAATAGCCTAGTCTCTCCTGCCATTTTTGTAGATATCATTCTGTCGTTTTAGAGAGACGTAGATATATCTGTTAACTTTGATGGTTTACTTTCATAAAAAAAATCATGGTCCGAAGATGACTTTGTAGCACATATATAGTTCCCC